TGTGTGTGTGTGTGCCAGGAGCTCCTCTTGTGATTCTGGCTAATGGCATATAAATCCTCTGGGCTGGGATCTTAACTGTGCTTCGGTTAGATATGCTCAAAAAGGAACAGGTTTAACGGGAATATTAGCTCGGAGGTATTAAGAAAAAGAAATTTAAGACGCAGTGACTTAAATCCATCATTGCGGAAAACACTGCTGATATTTAAGCGTTTCGGAAGCTGCTTGACCTTCTAAACAATACGACTTTGCTTCATCTCTTTTGTTAATTCTAACTCAAAAAGTTGAGAGATTAATGATATGCACAAATCTGGACGGACAGGCATACTGTCTGTTGTGTCGAAGTGCCCTTGAGCAAAATGCTGGACAGGAAACTTGCTAAGTCACTGTGAGTTGGTCTGCATAAATACACAGTACCTGGAGGAAAAAGGGGAAAATGAGCCCTGCTGTCCTACCTGCCTTCTTGAACCTGTCCAGCAGGTTTTGCCGGACCCCCTTCTGCAGGTTGAAGTAGTCGTCCTCCTCATCGGGACTCTTTAGGTACAGAGGAATGTGCTGGAACACCAGGACGTGTTTGGGTCTGGGTTCCTGAACAGAGACACATGTGAGGGGACGGGTTCATCACGGATCTCCTGAGACTAAATTCAATTGTGAGAGCAATTGCAATTATCCAAACACGGCAAAGGAAGACATTATCTAGCGGAGCGTCTTCATGAATCAGACAAGAATAGAATCATCTCAGCGAGGCCATTCTACCGTTGAGGAGGAGGCTCTGCTCAGCTGCTCCTCCAGCCACGTCTCCTGGGCCTCCTTCAGCTGAGGGCAAGCCGAGCCGTCGTAGAACAACTGGGAGTTCAGCACCAGGCAGAGGACTCCGCCCACCTGAGACGACAGGAGACAGAAGAGACCTACTGCTCATTCATTTAACAACAACAACTTCTTTACAAAGGACTATACTGTTGGAGTGCATTTTCTACCATCTATAATAATAAGTCTATTCCTACAGTGGCTTTGTTACCTAATTTGTATCTTCAGATCAACGACAAGTCATCTTATTTTTAAAAATACCAGGACTACGGCTCCTACACCAATGACATCGGCAAAATGAGCATGTGAGCAGGGCCCTTCAGTCAAGGAGGGCCTATGGCCTAAAAGATGTGTTCAAGTGGTTAGAAATATGTAAAAAAAGACTCGGTATACATGGGAGTAGGCCCACATGGAAATGCTGAGCGGACATAAATTGTGTAAACCGTGATTTCAACATGAAACTAGAATTACCGCATCACGGTCGTATCCCTCCGCCAACCAGTCATCTTGCAGTTAAATCCATGTTCGTCCAAAATAAAGTGACTTTATTAATACTTATTCGACATTTGTGTGAAATTGCCATAATTAGCAAATCAATTGTTGAGTTAGGGCCCAAAACGTAATTTGTGTGGTCGCAGTGACCTTTGGCCACAACTTCAAGCTACTCCTACTGGCTGTACTAACACTACTGCTAATTAAACATGTCCAGGTCTCTGCTTACCCAGAAGCTGAAATAGTCGTTCCCCCAAGCACTACAGTACTGCTCCAGTGTCCTGGGGGTGGGGGTGTTGCCCAGGTCGTGGTTTCCACTGACAAACACCAGCGGTATTGAAGGATCCGTCCCCTTCAAGGCTGCCTTCAGGTCTCGCTGCTGACCTTCTCTGAATGGGGTGTCTGGGGGGGGAGAAACTCATTGTCATAAGGTGAGAGACGGCTCGATGTCCGAGGTGGCGGTCACTTACGTCCACGTAAATAAAACAACACGGCATTGACTTAATTAATATTGACTTAATTATAAAAAAACGAGTCAGATTGAGAGTTTGAAGGGTGAGACAGGTGAGAGTCGCCTGAGGGAAGGGGGGGATTATTCGGATGATAACGATGACAGCTCAATAGTCTGTACAGCTGGACTTTATATCACCATGGTTACTGGCATGATGAGCAGTGTTTATCGAGTCCACGCGGCAAACCCAACCTTTGTGCCGAGCCAAGCGCTCTGCGGAGCACTCGTCAGATCCACCAGTCCGAGATACACGAAGCTGTTGGTTTCTTTACAATGTGTTCATTTGTTTGCTTGTCGGGGTAAAATCAGGAGCACTACGCTAAAAAGACGAGCGTACTCCCAGCGTAGGTGAAAAGACAGAGAATGGGTGAGAGTCAATCCTATTTATAATTTAGAATGAATATCAAACAAACCTTTCAGCCATTTATCTCGAGTTATTCCTCCGTCTCTCTCTTCTCCTCCTTTCTATTCATCCGAGTAATTATTTTACTGGCCTACTTTTGGAGCAAACGTTTCCTCGGATGTTTGGATAGGACTCATTACATAAGAGCCTTTTTCTGACAGAACATCTTGTGCATGACAGAGCGGGAGAATGCGGAGCTTAAAACGCATCAATATAAAAAATTTAAAAAAGGTAAAACGTTGTTTTAAACCCGTCTCTCTTTCTTAATTAAGCCAGCCTGTCAGACTTCTGTTTTGTAAAACAGACTCCTTTTACGACGAGTGAATTGCTTTCCTCACATGTAACAGGTTGTATTTCAAGAAGAACAAAAAAAAGATTAGTGACATAAAAGGTTCATCGATCACCTCTGGCAAGTCTCTTGGTCAATATTTACTACTAGGGAATGAAATATGTAAGAGATTAGGGCTGCAATATACAGAAAGAAAACTGACATTGCAATATTTTTTGCTTCCGTGTCATGAAAAGTAAAACTTAAACTGTTATACTATACATACCTTACTTATCAATTCAAACAGATAAATGCAATGGTTTTCCAGCGGGGGATGTGTAGTGCAGTTTAAACATGTGGTTTGGTCTCTGGGGAGTTGACCGTCTGAAGCAGAGTGTTGATGAAAACGATGGCGGCGGAGGCCACAACAATGCGGAGTCATTATTCCACAAACACAATATCTGACCGCTGCCACAATGATATACAGTGCAGACAAAGGCAGCCGCGCTAATGAAGCTGGAACGGATAGCAGGGGGGGGGGGGGGGGGGGCGCAAAGGTTGTCATTTGAAATGCTGAGGCGCTCCAGTGCAGCTGCTGGCTCTCGACTGACCCTGCTGTTCAATTGGATCTCGACGGAATTGATTTATTTATTCAAGAGGAGACTTCGCCTTGTTCGTTATTGCTACGGTCAGTTTCTCGGAGTTCTCAACAAGCTCGGATGACTCCAGAAGGGACCTTGTCACCTGCTCCAGTGGAGCTGGTTGGTAAATAAATAAATAAAAATATGTTACACGCTTGACACCATTCGAGTGTGAATGTGTGTAATAGAGTGAGTGGGAAGCATGGGTGGGGCTCAACGAACGAGACCGTGTAGCCGTATTTTACTTTCTTTGGATACATCAATGTGAAAAAAAAACAAAAACAAAAAAAACACTGGTGGCCTCAGAGAGCGACAGGGACGCTGCGCTGCCTTCTGCTCCCTCAAACCTCCCGGCTGCCTGCCCTTAACTACAGCCATCCGCTAACATGGCGACGGCCATGAATCATCCTTCAGCGCAACACAGCGTAAACCGATCCCCGACCACGGGTACGCCATCAATCCGTATTAAGGACACCTTGCTTTAGATTAATGGGGAGTGGCGATGGGCATGACATCGTGTCAGTTTAATATGTGTAGGTTGTTTGGACAAATATGTCCCGCTGCAGTTGGACCATTCCCGACAGCCTATTCGCTAGAAAACTGGATTCATACTTATCCGGTTATGTTTGTCAGTTGGCTCTCCTTCACTTCCCCTTAATGATAGTGCCATACAACATTGTGCGAAGGAACGCTTGCTTGGCAAGGGGTACAATACAGGGGGGGGAGTAGAGGATTTGTGACGAGAACCCATTTCCTGAAGTATGCCCAGGAAATAATGAAGGTTCATGAAGTAATTGAAAAATGAATTTTTATGCATACGTTTTCTCGCCCTGCTTTCCTCTTTTGGAATAAGCGACACATGTACCGAGCAGGGTATAAAAACACGATGGCGCTCTCAGCTCTCTCTCTCTCTCTCTCTAGCTCTGACTGAAAGGCCTTGTTCATTTAATGAGATTGTAACGCTGCGAGTGTCAAACCTTGACAGGAGACTTTGGCGAGTTCTCGTTGAGCCCGTCCAAGGCTGTGAGCACTTGAGATTGCACACGGTGTGCGGGGTCTTGCTGTCACATACATTTCCTACACTTAAACAACTATATTCTCAAGGTGTGGATTTGCGACGCTGACAGGCGGTGCTGATGTGGCACTGGCCTACAGCTTATGACAAGGTGGTAGCGAGGGATTCGTAAGGGTAGGGAGTCGTATTAAATGGATCCCACAACCTTTCAATGGTGCATGTGCAAAGTGCAAAGTGCAAAGTGCATGATGAAGTTCACCACAAGTACCGTAAACCCTAATGTCCTAATGTGAACTGTCACCATACAACTAGAGATGTCGCCACCTGATCGGTACCTGGGCCATCTGGACATGTTTTATATACACATGTATTTCCTTTCTTTATTGTGCTTTGGCCACCTTAAACTGCTAATTTGGCAACGCTGCTCTCCTTTACACATTTTGCTGCCGGTGAAAACGTGTGAATCTGAATGCATCTGGATAGTTTTGAACCAGGATCTTCAGAATTAGTAGTAGCTTGTGAATACATGTTTAATCAAAATGTAGATAAATATAAGTCTCAAATAAGACTCAGAATTGGCAGAAACCCAATGTTTGATTGGGATAAAAATTTAAATTGAATGGGACATCCCTACATAGAACCTCATCAAAATCAGCCATGCTTATAATCTTTTTCACCGTGATGATTCCGGGATGAACAAACATGGTTTCATGCAGTGTATAGATTTTATTGGAGGAAGAAAACGTTCTTTTAAACAATGTGAGAGTGTTCATGGGTTCAGTACATAAAAAGGTAACTGATATTATCTTCCTCCAAAATAGCGATGGGGCCAATACTAACAAAATGATGTGACGGTCCCTTTTTCTGTCAGTTACTCCTAGAGACATTCATGCACTCGGTTGTTCACATGACAAGTGACCGACGTAGATGTGTAAAGAAAAAAAAAACGGCCGTAAGGGAGAAGTTTGAACCCTGCCAAATTTCTCACCTCACCTTGGACGCTAATGTTAGTTTAACAGAACAATGCAGACATTGTCATTTGAAAGGTGTGGGGAGAGGGTGTGTCTGAAACGGTTCGACCATCCGACAAGCACTTCTGACGGAGTATACTAGTGCCTTAAGGATGCCTCCCTTTGGAGGACGTGGCTGTGTCTGGGCTACCTGTTGCCAGTGTGACTCAGATACGCCGTCAAAAGCGGATGGATGGAGGATCACCCTGATATTTACCACAGTGGTCCGAGAGGATCTTTGAACGGTGCATCTCCTCGGACACTGTGAAATGGTGAAGTATGTACTGTAAATGGTAACACAGAGGGACATTCCTAAATTTCTACACCCCGTGGTAGTCCCAAACTCCATTACAAAGCTATTACTGCACACGCCTCTGGACGATCCCATTAGATAAACACACAGAGAACCTCCCTGATCACCCCCCCTCCCCCCACCACCACTTCAAAAAAAGATTCCAAAATGCTTGTCCCTAAAACAAATTCAAACTCTCCTCTACTTCAGAATCCCGTGGAGAGACAATTAAACAGCTTTCCACAGATACAGAGAGGGGGGGACGGGGGGTCCCAAGGTAACCTCGACTTCACCTTTACGAGTTTGACTCACGTGCAGATGCGCACACATACCCGGGCGCTCTGCCCCGCTGCATCATGCGTAATATCCCTCACGAAACCCCAGAGACGAAGCTTGGATCCTTTGTAGTGCTCATTAGGAGGGTGTTAAGTCCAGCATGTTCCTCTAATCTAATCAGCTCTCTATCTCGCCCTCCCCCCCCCCCGCCCCCCTTTATCCTCTTCATTTGTCAGCTTTGAAAATAAGCGAGAGAAAGACGCGGGCAGAGGGATGGGCGCCAGATTGAAGGAAGTACTTCAGATGAGAAAGCGTCTCTCGGGGGTTGGCTTGGATTGGAGAGGAGACGGGGAATTGGGATGAGGGAGAATTCTGTCAGTAGAGGTCGCAAAGGACGCAATGCTGCGGGAGCAAAGCCAGCAGTTCTTTAAGGAACCGTTCAAGTCGAGTCTCAAGTCTTTCAGTGGCAAGTCCAAGTCTGTTATGGCTGTAAAGAACGCTCCATCGTCTGCTGCGTGACAGCCGGTCTGATTAGATCACGGCGCAGATATATCTTAAGGAATTCAAAGCATGTAGTGTATCATCACTCCTCTATCTATTAGCATACACTATCAGCAGTGATTAGTTGTGTGGTGCATAATAACTTGAAACAGGCTGGTGCAATAAATTATTTTAAAAAACAACGTACAAAGTCTTTAAAGTAAATAATAAATTTTGGCCTTAAAACTGGATATAGATTAATGTTACTTAATTAATACGTTAATAACAGTTAAGAGTACTAAATTAATGTATAATTACACTGGGTCTCGAACTAATGACACTTAACACATCCCTCCAGCCTCTTAAACCCAGAGATTCTCAACATTCATTTTTTGAAAGCCCAAGTCAACTCTCAAGTCACTGTGTGTACGCGACTTAAGTGCGACTTGGGTCCAAGTCCTAGTCCCCCCATCTCTGCAATGACCTGAGAATGTTTAGTTTTGAGGGATTGGGATTGTACCTCGTGGACTACTGTCATGGAACGCGACTGAAAGCCTCCGAGTACATCAGGGTTCAGTTTCAGAGCAATTGCAACGACAAACAGAACTTATTGATTCCGCACGCATTAGATTCAACTCGCACGGATGTTTCAAATAGATTCATCAGAGGCGAGAATGAATGTGTTTGTGCGCCGTGTCAGACTTGCAAATGAAGGATGTCAAAATAAGGTATGAGGCATGAGACCGCAGCTGCTTGCTAAGGAGAACAGACAGACGGAGGAGACAGACGGATAGCAGAGCGAAGGAGAGGAGAGATAGAGAGTGAGATCCGTGGGAACAGAAATACAGTTGCCAATTTCCTGTCGCCGACAGGCAGCGGTGTCGACAATGCCGGTTCACAGCCAGCTTCCCCTGGCCGCCACCCATTCATTCTGTATTGTAAATAAACATTTTAAGGGGAAATGTCAGCCGGGAGACGGAAGTAGCTCCGGCTATAATATCTCTTCCCTCCTCCCGACTTGTGCAGCAGCCCAGTTGCCAGGCAAGTGACGGACGTGGCGAGTAATGAGGATGGCACACACAACCTGTTGTGTCGAGGGCTGACAGTAACAAGGGCTGACAACACGGCGTTTAAAAAAGGTCCCCGAAGGCGTCGCGGTTTAAACCCCTTTGCTTACACTCTCCACTGTCCCAGCTCTGCGCGGGAAATAGATCTCGCCACGACCTATAAATGGGCCTGATTGGTGTGTGTGTGTGTGGGGGGGGGGGGGGGAGTAATGGATGGTGGCCATGTTGCGGTCTAAATGGCGCAGTCACAGAGATGATGAGGATACTTGGGACGCCTAGAACGAGGCTCTCGGATGATTGGGGCAGACCACTCCAGGAGTGTTCAGGACTGTCGCCGAGCAGCTAAAATTGGAGGTCGTTATGACCTAAAAAGCAGAGGAGAGGGAGGCGAGAGTGGCCCCGTGACTAAGCCAAGCTAAATCGGTGTTGCATGCGAATAGTTTTGCCTCGAGTCAAATTTTAGAAAACGGGGGGGGGGGGCCAAGGACAATTTACAGATGACATGTATGCACCACATAGAACAAAAACATTCGGCTAAATACGTCTACAAATCAGAATCAACCCAGAATTGTTTCCATCACGAGCCGCTCAAACATGTAAACAGACGCACAGAGACTCTGACATGCAGAGATGGAGAGGCAGGTTCGCCTGCTGACTTTCTCTCTCCCTGTGCCCATTCCCTCTAGGCCAGGCAGCCAGACAGGCACCTCACGCTACTCCCATAATTGTAATGCAGATGTGGTTTGCATAAAGTTGGCGGCTACTGGCTCTTTTTATTTGCTGCACATTAATTCTGCTGTGGGTCCCGCCGAGCCCATTCCTCTTATCCCGTTATCAAGTCAGGCAGCTGGACATCGAGAAGCACGCTCACCGCGCTGCGGTCACTTCATTACAGTGACTTCAATAAAAGCGTCCGCTGTTGCCTGCCAAACTACAAAGTCAACGCCTTCTACTGAGAAATACACGGGTATCGTCTACAGCTTAACAAACAGCTTTTACTTTATAGGTGGAATTATTTGGCTTCTGTTGGCAGGTTGGCGTTATTCATCACATCTCTGTTACTACCGAGACACGGGGCAGACAGAAGGGAGCACAATTGAACACAGCACGAGTCAAACACGGCGTGTCGGTTCCTAACAAGGTGGGGAATGAGCAGCGACATTATTATTTTGCTTTACTCGACCAGCTATGTCAAGGATGTAACCGACTATTTCCAAAAAAAAAACAAACCCGTTCTATTGTGCAAAGTCTGTTTGTCTGGCGAGACGGCGAAAAGCATCTGGTGAATTTGGGAAACCAGCTGCCAACCGTGGCAGAAGACGCCGGCCCCGCTGTCCCGGTTCCAAGACATCTAGCGTGTCTAACTCCCAGCATTAGATTGATGGAGTGAAACCAACGTTGCGCTTGCCGTTAAGAGATGATTCACAAATGATTGGATAGAAATGGGCCGTGTGTTCTCCATCTGCAGCTATTTCACCAAGCTAAATCTCACCTTCATACGAACAGCAACCAGGTGCTTCGTGCACACAGATATTGCACGCTGTCACAAGAGGTCGGACGTTTAGAAAGAAGACTTTACAAACAGGGCGGGGAACTAACTTTTGTTTTACCTCCCAGCTGCAGACCGTAAAAACACAACAGTTGGTATCTTATATAGATTTTTTGGGAATTGGATAGAAAATCAAAGTGTCGAAATCCTCATCAGCACATTAACTAAAGTTGCGGGAGAATAGCCAGAAGGCCTGTGCTTTTTCACAGATAAATATCACCTGCTGTCATAGGGGAGTTCAGTGTTTGGCTGGGTGGAAAACAGCTAATGTTCAGAACCTCCACGAGTAATATTCTGTAGCTGAAGCATCCAAAGGCAGATGTTGTTCACAGAGAGCATTAATTACATTAGGATTGTCTCAGAGGGCAGCAGAAGCTCCCCCCGTCTTCTGCCAAGAACCTATCAGACGCAGCAAGCAAGGTACAAGGTGGAAGGTTAGAGAGTTCTTGCTACATACGCTCTCCTTAAAGCCAGATCTGTAAATATAGATTCAGTATAACAATACACCACGTTGTCTATCGTACGCATCCTTTCCGTTAAGCGTTTTGGTCAAATGCCATCCGCTATTTACAGAGGTAAATAATTTTGTTTTGCAGGTCATCACAAAACAAAAAAAAAAAAAAAAAAAAACTCTGCGACCAGCTGCACCGGGGTCACAAATAAACAATTCTGCTCGAGGCTCAAAAAAAAAAAAAAGAGAAGAATAATGACAGCCGCATCACACGATGAGAGTCAGATTACACCGCGTCCCTATGTGACAGAGAAAAAAAGCGTGACATTTTTAATGGTTTAAGTCAGAAACATTCCTGTCACATTCTGCAGTTATGACAAATATATTTGACATTGGCATAATCGGAAAGTCATCTCATGTTGGCCAGGTGAAACACTACAACCCACCGCGGAAATAGAGCGAGCGGAGGCAGACTGCTGATCAGTCCGACCTCTACACACATCAGGATATAAGGTTGAAATATCAGTTCCAATGCCTGATGTAGCACAGATCTGTGGGAAGTTTAAATAATAAATTACCCATCAGCTTAAACTGAATGACATTTCGGCTCGCAAAGGCCACTAGCAAGTGTGAGCATTCAGCAACGGCACGTCTGGACTACGGCGGCTACAGAGATACCACGCAGAGGCAGCAGGAGCTGCGATTGGTCAGCTCGGGTTGCACTGTGTGTATTAAAAAGCTGTATTGTGTGTATGCCAGCAGGACGGGGCCTCATTATCTGAGTAGGGAAACTCTTATGTTCGCTGGCCTCACACCTCAAAAAGGTCAGCAGGTGTTAGCAGAAGAATAAACAATATGAGGTTTGATGGCTGATGGAATAATACATCATTTGAAAGTGTTTGGCTGGTGTTTGATGATCATTTCTAACGTTGCTCAGAACCACCCTTTGATCTCTTTGATGGAAAAACAAGATCTCAGCTTTCGGGGCACATGAATCTGTCAACACGTAGCTTTTTTTTTTTGGAAGTGCTGAAATCACAAACGAGGCATAAAACAAGTTGATCGGTGAAACGGTGTGTAGTGCGTGACATCACAGCTTGCGTTTCTAAATTGTTTTGCCGTTATCTGTAATTTGGGAGAGCCATTTCACACACGCTCGGATGAGTGCGGAATTTGCACGAGCCCGCGCGATGTACCAGATGCCGCGCGATGGCGCTTGTGGGACCGCTGCTGTGTCATTTGGTCGCACTAAAAAGAGGCTGAGCGGGGTTTAAACTCACACCACCGGCATCTGCGAGTGCACATTATGTCCTCCGACATTAGGCGGATAATTGGCAGCTGCGCTGGTTGATGCCAGTGGCTCGTTTGTCCATGGGAACGTCTCTTCGCGGCTGCGGGTCGTGCTGTCGTAGTTTCTTTACAGCCATCAGAACTCAGCATGCATTTATCGCTCAGAGGAGTTGATGGTAAGCAAAAAAAAAAAAAAAAGCAATGTACTTCAAAACAGCATTTCATCACGACGCAACAGCAGGACCCACAGAAAAATATGTTCATTCTCAAAGACGGGTGGAAAAACTGAAATGACAACCTCTTCATTTTGAGGAGAGATGGTAGGAGTAATGCTCTCGTGGGGTTCTTGAAAACTACAACATTTTAGAAAGGTTTTTAGGTGCAGTGCTTGTGTTTTAATGCGCTCTATCCCTACCTGGCATGGCATGGACCAGGTCTCCACAAAGCACTATGAACCTGGGCCTGGGTCTGAGCTGGTTGACGGCCTCCACGGCCTGCTTGGTGAGCTCGATCTCCTCCCCCCATTCGTCCCCTCCGCCGTCGCGGTCGCCGTCCCTCCAGGCCTTCATCAGCCCCAGCTGGGGGTCGGCGGCCTGGATGAAGAAAAATGGTCCCGTCCACTCACGCTCTGCATCTGAAGAACAGAGACAAGAACGAACTTAGCAGTTGCGTCGACGGAGACGGCTGCAAGGGTTACTACTGAGACAAGAATGAAATAAAACTGAATTTAAAGCTGCATCAGGCAATTTTACTGTGTTCAAATGTTTTTTTAGTGTTTTAAATGAGCAAAATAAAACACGTTTGAGATCATCATAGTTTGATAGTAAATGTGTTTATTATCCTTTCTCAAGATGTAACTCAGTCTTTACAGATAGTCAATACTGATTTACATGCATGTACAGATTTTAATATTATTCTCACTTACAATGTGTGAATTAGACCTGCAACGATCAGTCGATCAACAGAAAAATAATCGCCTATTTTTTTTAAACTATTTTGATTATCGAATAATTATTACAGTAATTTTTTCGGAATTTTTTCATTCTCAGCCTCTCAAATACGGAGATTTCCCGTTTTTCTAAATACATCATATTAAACTGAATATTTTATGATTTTTTTTGTTTTGGAACGACAAAACAAGACATCCAAAGACATCACTTTGGACTTTGAGAAACTGGGATGAACATAATGTACGGCCTTTTGTTAAACATGCACATGCTCACTGCATGAGACCAATGCTAAATAATTAACAAAGAGCTACATGTTAGAGCACGGACGCCAAAGAACAAGTGTTTTACATAATCCTGATATTGCGTAACAAAAGGGCCCGACCATCCAATCCCTCTAAAATATTCATTAAAAAAGGCAAACTGTTCCAGGCTTCCATGTATAGAACGGAAGCAGACACTTCATCTGGCTGACGGTAATGACAAGGTTCGACATGAAGGACACAAGACAAAAGCCCGGCCACGTGATATGGAAATGGAGTCCCTTTGTTGCCCGCAAATGGACCGATGCAAAGAGCAGGTGTAAACAGTTTCTGCTCCACTTGTTTGGTTTCCGGAAGGATGTGCAAAAAGCAGTGTGCGCCACCGTCGCTGTGGAGAGTCTGCATCTGCTCAAATCCCATCACTCACACTCAGCAGGGACGAGAAGCTGTTCAGCATCCTCCGTGTTTAACATGCTCTCCACGCGTCTCTCTCTCCCAAATGAGTTCACCAAGTCTGTCCTCCGGAGAAACTTGAACAAAGATGGGCAGAGGCGAGCAAAGAGCGCCTTGCCTCCTGGGAATCAGGCGAGTAAAACAATGACCCCCCCTTAACAACGATCTCCTCTGTGGAATTGACATTTAGAAAGAAAAACCAGGAGGGGAAACACATTCTACTTTTATGATTATCATCATTATCTCTTCAACCAAATTACATTAGAGCGGCTGTGGTCCAATCCAGCCTGGCCTTGATCTTAACCGATACACAGTGAGGACTGAGGATGAATTTTGAATTTGAACAGCTGCCATTACCACTGAGGTATATAATTAAGTTTTCCTGCTTCATCTCATCCATCAGCATTTACTTGCTACGAGAATACAGACCAGATCTGTATTTTAAGTACATCATAAACTCTCATCAGCACATCTTGAACTCCTGCAGCTCAGCATAGAGTTGAAACTCTGAACCAGCGCGCCTCATGTGAAACTCAATTCCCAACCAGTAACGTTTCCAATCACACAAATACACATACAATATGCAATGTGCATGTACACCCCCGTGCATGTCGGTCCCACTCCTGACTTATTAGCCATCTTATTTTGCGAGTGTCCTGAACAACAGACAACAATCTGCAAAGAAATTTACGAAAGCTGCAAGTCCCACTCACACAAATCCTGCAAGCTTTTTGTTACCGATGCATACTTTACAGCACAACGTCTCTCTTTGGAGTCAGACGTGTGAACTATTTCACAGACAAACGGAAAAAGAAACTTAAAAAACAACAACACCACCACCAGGACTTGCAGCAGCCGAAAAGGCTCCCATGACAGGAGATAAGAGGCAGCAGCCTTGTGTGGCTGCGCTGGTTGAGCAAAACTTCAAACATAAATCGCACAGATTTCTCAGGTGGCAGATTGTGCACTCCAAACAAAATTAATCATCATCTGAAATGAATGAATGATAAAAGCACACAGGGGGGGGGCTTGCTTTAAATGTCTTCCCTCGAGTTCCCTTAAATTAACTGGTTTCCTCCTGTAGGTGCTAAAGAAATAAGCAGACAGGAAAGGTTGAAAGGACATAAATGAGCACGTTAGTGCGATTGGTTTGACTGCAGGGATGAACCACTTTAGTAATGAAACACGTTGGACTAATTTAATCAACTCAAATGAGGTCGCAGCCACTTTGACAACAACAAGTTGTGCTACAACTCTTCCTCAAAAAAAAAAAATGCAGAAATGTGGTTAAACGTTTGCTGCAAACTAAGAGTTCCTCATTGGAGACCCTCTGGATTCAAAGTAGTGGACCAAAGTTTGAAACATTAATGTTAGCCTACTCAAAGTAGATTACAACCAACTCTTACATGTGGCCATTAAAAGTAAGATACAATACTTCTAAACAACAACATAAAAAGGAGCGTTGTTTTCCTGCACTGATTTGATTCATTGCCGCTGCTAACAGTAACGTTACTCATACGCTTTATTCTGTAAACACAAGCTAGCAAGCTAGCCTTGCTACGGTTGACAACCGTGTCCCCTGTTATCAACACGAAGCTACACAATAGCCGTCAAGTGGCTGCGTTAGCTCTGTCAAACTGTTCACCCGCAGTCAGCGACAACAACTTGTGTAACACCCCGAGTTAAAGAGAGAGCGTTAGCATTAGCATCTACGGTGGCTAACCGGCGGGGCTAAATAGGCTAATGACAGCTAGTCGCTACCTTCAGTCAGTCCGCTGAAAGTCCGATGCTTGGCTCTGAGAAAGATATCCTCACTCCCAGCCATGAGATCTAAATGTTAGAGTTATCTGAGCAAACTAGTTTGCGACTTGCAAGCCTGTCAGCGAGCCTCCGACACAGGTTTGGTTGAGTAAGTGTTGGGTCTCCCTAGCTGTCTTAACGGCTCGCTGCCTCTGGTGACTATCGGTGATCGACTATCGGTGATCGACTACACATGCCTGCTGGAGAGTCTGTGTGACTTTCGCTGCAGCGGCCCCCAGCCTGGCTACAACGTGCGGGCTTTATTAGGATACAGTATAAAGAGCGCATGTACGTCTCCACTCTAATAATGTACCCTCACAATAGCAATCCAGGTACAGCCTTTAACGTGTACTATCACTTATATGGCATGCATCATTGTTATTTTTAAATATGTTTACTGAATTGTCCTAATCCTCTTCAGGTGGTGGAGCATAAGCCTCTATAAATTAAACATCTGACATCCTCATCATTTTTGCATTTTTGTTTTAAAAAGTTCGGGAACCCCCGTGGTCGCCCCCCACAGCCCCTTGTTAACACGGAGAGAGGGACCTTGGACCGAGGAAGGATCCTTTCAGCACCATGGACAGAGGTGGTTCCACATTGAGCAGGATCCACCCATCCTTTTTTTTTTTAAATCTAACTGCTATTCTGGTTGCTTTAATATTTTCAGCATTTGAATGAAAGATAATTGTCGGTTTTGCTTGATTCCAATACATCCAGACAGTTCAAATAACCCTGGAGGTCCCATAGAGGTCTGCTTTTTAACGGCTAAATGAACCAAGACCACATTAGTTACAGGTTAATACAAATATGTTTTGCAGGAGGGACATGATGCCCTTCAGCTCATCTCCCGCGGGTCTCTCTCGCGGACCTCTTTCGATCTCTCTCTCTCTCTCTCTCTCTCTCTCTCTCTCTCTCTCTCTCTCTGGACTTGTTTGACACTGCACTTGAAGTACTCGAGATATCCACTAAATTCTATGCAAAGTGTTTTTTGCTTATATATAAGCAAAAGAGAAGTTCGGGATACGTCTAAGGTATATTGTGTTTGCTAAAAAGCATACATGTATGAAACACTATTAATGGGAGAGACGTCTTCCAATCGGACACCATTTGGGAATGAGGTTCTTCACTTTTTCATCTGAAAAAAAAAATCCGTACTACGATCGTAGTTTTGAGGATTTACCATTACCAAACCTCTTGCCCTTTTCCAGAAAGTCCCCAGGCATCTAGTGGAAATTACATGGGGCCACATCTTTGCTGAAGGGCTCTTTTTCAAAATAAAAGCCCTGATTTAGAAGCTATGTCAGCCACTGCCTATTGCAGCACACTACTTGTGAAAACAATGGCAACCTACTATGCTGAAAATGAATAAAGTGGGAAAAGGGGGGGAGGGGTGCTCCCACGCCTTTCCTCGAGGGCAAAACCGTATAGTGCGTAATCCGGGGCTTTTATCATAATACTATTTAACAATAAAGTCTCTCCCCCCTTCTTTCTCTCTCTCTCTCTCTCTCTCTCTCTCTCTCTCTCTCTCTCTCTCTATGTGTGTGTGTCTCTCTCTCTCTCTCCTCAGCCCTCGCAGTCTCACTCCCTCCCCATGTTCTCCTCCTCCTCTCCTTTTGCGCACCAGACTCTCCCACCCTCGCCTCTTCTATTCGCTCACTGCGCTCCCGTCCTCTGCGCGGCTTGTGTCTCTGCCTACTCCTGCGCGTAAGAGCGCACCCGATGGATATGCAAAGTGATGCACTCCTGAAAACGCCAGATCTGCGCCTGCAAATACCTCTGTGAAAGACGTACGGACGCGCAGCAGATAACCCGCGTCGGAGCGCTTTTAGTTAGATTAAGCCAAGTTCATTCCACGGAGACTGTTTTTTATTCTGCGCTTTTCTTTCTTTTGGATGATGATATGTTAATAAAGATGTTCGTCGGCGCGGATGACGGTGCGTTGCTATTTGGATGTGTGTTTCTGGACTTGTCAGCATATCATGACCGCGCGCCCTTTCCCCTCTCCCCAAGTCTTTTCGTGTCTGCGTGAAGTTGACCGGCGGAGGAAGCACGATGAGAGGGAAATACTTTCTCCTCTTCTTCTTGTTGCTCAAAGTTATGGCTCTCGTGTGCAAGGCTGACGGGGAGCCGGGGCTGCTCGGGGGATTCGTCATGATCGCCACCTCCAACGGCTCCAGGGAGGAGGAGAGCGTGTCCGAGGAGACCCCGCACACGGAGGACAGGTGTCGGGGTTACTTCGACGTGATGGGCCAGTGGGACCCGCCGTTCATCTGCAAGACGGGCAATTATCTGTACTGCTGCGGCACCTGTGGCTTCCGCTTCTGCTGCTCCTACAAGCACTCGCGGCTGGACCAGAGCACCTGTAAAAATTATGACACTCCGGTGTGGATGAAGACCGGACAGACGCCCTACAAAAAAATTAACAAGATAATCGACAGCACCAAAGACAAGACGAACTTAATTGTTTACATCATATGTGGAGTAGTGGCCATCATGGCTCTCGTGGGGATTTTCACCAAATTGGGGCTGGAGAAGGCGCACCGGCCTCAGAGAGAGAACATGTCCAGGTAAGTCTCTCCCTCTCGCGCGCGCGCGCGCGCGCCATCTGTCTGCCTGCTTCTCTCAGTGCGCTTGTTTACAAAGAGACTTGCAGTAGTAGCCTACGCACGCAGAGATGCGGAGCGCGCAACGTCTCGTTCATATCCTCATCTGCCCGCGATGTGCACATCAGAAGTGCATAATAAGGAATCAATTATCAAATAATGCATCAGGCATATAATGTCTCTCACACAGGCTGCGGTTGGCATGGCAACCAGAGCATCTCATGTCATCTTCTGTTTTCAGATTCTTTATGTGTGTGTGTGGGGGGGGGGTTGGAGAAAGAAAAGTGGATACTACATGCTCTCTCCACTCTGGTCTATCATCTGCTGTGGTATAGAATGACATTACGTGAGCTACACTTTTCTCATCAGGCGGGGGCGGTTTTCTCACTAGCGTAAAGGCGGCATGCGTATGCTCCATTGTGTATGATTATAGATAAGTGAAAACACTTTTCCACACCTTCACGGTGTCATTTAATAGGCAGGAGTGTATGTGCTGCAGAGACATTCCCATTCATCACGGGGAATCAAATATTTTCATTTATTTTTTCATAAAAAAAAGATTCTGTGCAGCAGTACAGCCCAGCTGAATAATGAAATTAGCCCTTGTTGTGCACAGTTCCTCATGTCTGCGTCCCTCGTCCCTCACCGCCTCTGTCTCTCTCTCCTGTCTGACAGGGTCGTCGCCAACGTGCTGCAGGGCGGGTGTCCAGGTGAGCAGTATCGCGGGGAGGAGGCCCTTGGGATGCATTCGCAGCACTATGTTTCCAGGGCCACAAACCTCCGTGAGTGGTTTTTATTTGTTGTTGTTGTCTGGACAGCTCTTTACTGGGTTTTGTGAACTGTTTAGGGCGGCATATGTGTGGGTGGGGAGTGTGTGTGTCAGCAAAAAAAAGAAGCTGTGTCCATGTTGGTGTCCGAGGCCTTCATGAAGTCATCTGGAATGATGTAAGGACGGGAAGAGTCACTTAACCCAGCTGGGCTCAATTGTTTCAAAACCACGCTCATGTTTCACACTGATGGTGCGCACTCAAAAAAATCCTCAAATATACAGTACACACACATCCCTGCAGGCGTGTTCCTATTTTGTTTCAAATGACAGCATTGGGGTTTTGTCTTATCTCGCACCGGCCTGATATCCATTTCACAACGCGCTAGAGAGAGAATCTCTGCCTGCATTTTTCTGCAGCTTTTCAAATCCAACCGTTATTCACCGTTTTATTTTGGTCCATGCCCACATGATATAATGAGAGAGAGAGAAAAATGGAAGTGGGAGTGTGTGTGTGAGTCGGTGAGGAAGTAAGTGGTGGTGATGGATGTGTGTTTTGCGGGTGGAGGGGGGGGGGGGTTTGAAGGATGGTGGTGGTGGTAGAATAGAGAGCGTATGAATGCCATCTATTTCTGTTGCGTCCCGTGGGCTGCTACAGTACCGAGCTTCTTTGTGTTTTAACACCGAAGATCAAACAGATGAATCCACACACAAACACACACACACACACACACACACACACACACACACACACACACACACACACACGCTGAAATATGTGCAGACCCGAGCATACATCTGCATCATAAACACATGGAATGAAGTCAGCACACACAGCATTCAAATATTCTAAAAGGTGCATCATATTTATTGTGCCAAAACAAAAAGCAGATCTGAGATGAATTTGTTCGAGATAAATAGCAACTGCGCCGTTAGAGGATTGTCTTTCTGTGCAATTCCATCTGACTGCTGTCAAAAACGACAATTTCACCCGGTCATTTTAACATGGTGTAGAGTTTTAAAGTCCTAGATTTAGGAAAAGTGAAAAGATGTGCCAGTCGGATGAGATCATTTTTGCAAGTTAACAATGCAAATAATGTGGCAATAGTGATTATAAACTACTTTTATTTGCGAGAATGAGATAAATATGTAATCCTACAGCAGCAGCTCCCCGGGCTAACAACAAGGTGACATAACCCTCCTCAGCATGAAGCACTACGCCCACAGACACCATCAACATCATGATGAGAGCACATCTCGTGGAAAAGGTTGCATTCATTAAAATGGTTTTAGTTTCAGGGGGGGGGGGGTCTCAGTCTCACAACAGTGGTGCCATGAAAAGAGATGAAAAAACCTTTCAGCAGGTGTTGGGGTCCACTGGAGTCTTTTTTTTTCTTTCTTCTTCCTCACCAGAGTGATGAGATAGCGTGGCGGTCTTTCAGCTGAGTGGCCGGCACCAACACTGCTGTGAAATAGTGATTATTATTTGCAACGTGGAACCTGCTCCCCTTGGCCCTTCTAATCCTCTGGGGTTGTGGGTAATCATGTGGAATGTTATTAACCTCCGTGATCTGGCGGGATCCTCTCTTACAGCCGCCTGATCGGTTTACGGGTGCCTCCGCCGGCCCTAGGAGGACGATTCATCACTGGGGGCAGGCTGAGGGGAGAGGAATTAGATATGGATTCGCTGGATATGACCGTGTTATTCTTGTTTTAAGTGATTAACGGAAGATAAATAGACTGAAAAGGGCAAGGCGATTTTTCATTGAGAGAGCCGTTGTGAATGTGCGCCACAGACGGGGAAGGAAGGGAAGGAGAGGGAGGCGGATGTAAAGACGAGTGCTTGGGTTCAAAGGGGCCCCCGTATGTGTGCACAAAGAGAGTTTGTCCAGCTACAGTGCAGGATTGTGCTGGAAAATACATTTTTAGTCCTAAATACATATCGATTACAGTTTACGGCTAGATTGTCCTATTACTGACATCAATGAATCTGGTCAGGCAGGTCCCGGCTGCTTATGTAGGAGGGGAAAACAATTCCGATTAGCTGTCAGTCACAGAGTGCTGATTGTCTGTAAAGGAATCGCTGATGACCCCAGCCGCTTCATCATTTATATGGTTTCCCCCTCAAGCACTTAAATCAGCACATTTGTCAACAGAGGTAGAGAAAAACAAGCAGACCCGTATTCCCAATGCGCCCTTTGCTGCGTCTCTAAAATTTGTAATCATTATCACACGTACACCACAAGTGAGATAACATCAATTAGTAATACAAAAACCCGTGGCTTGTGTTCCTTATGTTGTGGGCCCCTGTGCATATCCAGGAGGGGGCCCTCCGCAAACGACTGCACATTAAGAACGGACACTTTGGTTGCTATACGCGAACCAATAGAACCAGCCAGCAGAACCATCAATCCCCAGGTGGGGCCAGCTGGCAGCACTTTCATGTCTCCTCCAAACCCAGAGACTTTGTTTAAATCGTTAAAAAGGCAGAAGAATCCTGCGTCTCTTCGCTTTCCAGCATCAAAGAGAGCCGAGGAGACAAAGAAGGGAGGGTTAAGGGAGGAAGAGGGGAGGACGGTGGAAGGAGAAGGGAAAACAGCGCAGTGTGAAGAGTCAAGAGATCTCAGAGGCAACGCCCAGACTGAGGGTTGCACTTTCTCAAACTCTGAAGGACGGGGGCTTTGTCTCTGCATCTGTCTGTAAAGCTGTGCTCCTTGTTTGGATTGCTGCGCGGAAAAAAAAAGTCTGACAAATATCTTGAGTCGAGCGCTGAGTTCAGGGTGACTTTCGCTACAGTTTAAGGCACCAGAGAGTCTCTTTAGTGTAACTGACGAGCAGCAGAAGCTAATCTCTTTGTTACACTCACTGTATAATCTAATGAAGAAGTTAGTGGTGGAATTGAATTGTAAAACAGTATGTATCCTTGTGAATTATTACGCTGAACAATTTCTCCAGACCAATATTGTACTTCTTAGTCCTGTAATTGTCATTTTGGGTATCGCACACAGATACACACACACACACACACACACACACACACACACACACACACACACACACACAGTACTCTGTATTCACAACTCAAATCACCATTTGCAGGCTTAATTACCTCCCCAGCAGTTATAATCTTTGCCTAAACATTCTGAGATGGAAAGGATGAAATTGTAATAGGTAATTGCTTCTGAGATTGCACAGGCACGAGGAAAGGCCCACGTCTGCACAACACTCCTGCTCCGCCTTGTGACTGTGTGTACATGTGTGTGTGTGTATGTGTGTGTGTGTGTGAGCAAGGGTATCTGCGTGTGCCCTGTGCAGGCCTGTCAAAAGGAGCTGTGCATATCCTTCGTTAAAAGTAGGTGACTGTGTGACCTTGTCATCCCAGCTGTCATCTGAGCCCTCAGTGTGTCACATCTGATTGCAGAGTGTCAGAGCGGAAAGAGGAGCTCTGGCTAGTGAACCCACACACACCGCTGTGCAGGCCGTAGAAACAAGCGAAGGGAGGCCGCGCGAGAGTGAGCAAATGACAGGGCTGGAGGTAGTTATCTGGGAGGCGTCGCTCCGGCAACAGCTACGTTTTATAGCTCAGCTTCTGTCCTCGTGTTCAAACAGGAAGGAAAAGCAGATGAAGCCAAGTTCCACACCCCCGTGTTTGTCCGCGACAGTTTCTGCTGCGTCTACTGCTAAGCTTTCTTTCATCCCGACCATTCAGGAAAAGGTTGATCTTTTTTGTTCCATTTTCGTACTGATATACTTCCGTTCACTCCGCCTATTTACAAAATAAAGTCTGAACGCACGCACCAAAAGTCGCTCAGACACTTGTACCAAATTTACTGGCCATTTTCAGACATACACTTAAAAGGCATAGTGTCATTCACTTTCTCGTCCAGAGTTACCCGAGAAGATTGATACCACTCTCATCACTGTCTGGTAAATGTAAAATGGTTAGCATAGCTTAGCATAAAGACTGGAACCAGGGGCTTATGCCGCGTAAAAAACAAAACGTTGTGGTTTAACGGGGGTTATGTGCTGAATTTTTTCTTAGCTGGATGCAACCCACACAAGGCACATAAGCTCCTATAAAACCACAGTTTTTCATGTTTACAGTTCTAGTGAACTTTTCCTTAAAGTGCGTGTATGAAAATGGTCAATACATTTGTTGCTGGATTCTTTGTGTGAACCTTTGCGTAGATGGACATAGGCGTGATGTCTTGCTGCCATCTTGACAGTTGATACCCAAAAAATACCTATTTGGGCAACAAGGTAGAGACTTCAGGCGATGCATGCAAGCAAGCCACAACCACCCGGATCGAGAGTTTTCCTCTGAGATACCCATCAATCACGACAAACATGCCCCAAAAGACATTTTGCTTATTATGTTGTCGATATGGACTATAACTTTCAAAATTGCAACCAAATACATTAGGAAAGTGACATTAGCTCTTGAGAAACGGATGCCCTGACAAATGGCCATTAGAGACAAACATGCGAAACTAAAAGACAATAAAATGTCAATTCACATATTGTAACTTTAGCCCCACATAATATACTTGCCTGCACTCTTTGGCACAATTCACCATTTAGTTTGTCTGAACAGCTCGTCGCTCCTGACAAATCATCTTGTTATGTCGTGCCACACAGCTGTTGTTCCTACTATAAAAATACACTAACGGTGCAAATCAGGCTACAGTGAGCAACAAGGGAGACAAAGTCATTAAGTCACGGCCTCAGATCCTCAGAAGAGTCTCCTCCTCCTCCTCCTCCTCCTCCTCCTCTCAGGGGCCTCATTCCTGCACCCTCTCTCACATTTTAATGTGAGGCTCCCTCAGCCGCCCAGGGACCCCATTAGATTCCTGTTTATTAGGGCTCTTGGGCCGCACAGCCGGCAGGCGTCGACCAATGACAGACATCCACTCAGTTCAGGCCAGGGAGGTGTCAACGTAGCCTGGGGAGGGAAACTGGGCCTGGAGGACTGGAACGGAGAGCGGAAACAAAATGATTTCTGAAAAATGTGATGAG